ACTGCCAAGTTCACGGATTAAACCAGACCAACCATCCATACACTACTTGACTTCCCCACTTTACGCGGGATGACCCTTTTGGTGTTGGTTTCAAAATTTTCAACTTAACAAAGGATAGTACTCGCTCAACATGTCCTGCCTTGATGATCTTGCAAGGGGTCTCATGCTTTCCTTCTCGAGCTACCTTACCAGACATGTTGGTGTATGTTTGCCTCATTCTAGGTGGTATGGTAGACATTCTCAAATTCTTTAACCCATCAAAGGGACCACGAGTTGTTCGTTGCCTTAGATTCCCCCAACTTGACACATGCTTACTCTCCTCGCATGGTTGGCATGACGAGTGTTTGAGCTTAACAAGTTGACGACCACTCTTGTCGCCAACTTGACTTCCAACCCCTATGCCTCGTTGGTTTTTTTACTTATCACATAACCACTTGTGGTCCATAGCAGGACCATACTTGGTCAGTCTGTGTCGAAACGTCTTATAAGTCCCCTTGTCCGCCATTCATATTTGGCATGCCATGAGGGTTGTTAGGCATAGACATGCTTCTTTGTCCATCTTTTAACACCCTCTCATACTTGGAATTTTTTTGAGTGGCTTGGGTGTGATGAATACTCCTAAACTTTCTCTCCACTCAATTCTTCATAGTGGATGGCATGCCCCCCTGTCCAGTTCATGGAGCGGATGACTTGCCCCCCATGCCATCCTTATGTAACAAATATGGTGTTTTATTGGACACAACCTTTTGTCCAGCTTTCTCGACATCACCTTGCCCCCCAGCTTGACACTTCACCTTCAACTTGTCAGGTGGTAGGCTACCATTCCCTCCTTCCTCCCCTTAGGCGGTTTGCATCCACCATACACGTTGAGCAGGGGTAGCAATGAGGGTGGGCAGGTTTGTGGTGGTAGTTGACCCAAATTGACTAGATCTACACTAACCTGCACAAGCGGTTGCTCCACGTGGGTGGAGAACTTATGAGTGAGATTCTCGTCATAACCACCACGTAGAAAAGGTGGTTGACTTATCACCGGAAGCGACGAGTTCCGGACTGTGGCTGCGCAGTCCGACCACCGGAGACCAGAATAATTGTATCCTCAGTAACAATACTTGGTGGCAGATCTATACCATTTTTAGGTAAACACATTTTTCGCACCACCGGTTCTATAAAATCATTTTTAAACTTATCCCAGCAATTTTTATTTTTTATAACTGCTTCAAATAATTGGTCCAACCGTCCATCTAAGGTAGAACTAAAAGAAGCGAGTTTAAGACTTCTCTGATGTGAACATCTAACAAGTTCATCCCAACTCTCGTCCATGAGTCAGCGATTCTCCGCCACCATTTGGCGATTCTCCTTCATGTCCTGGAGGTTCTCCACCATCATCTTCTTTGTCTCCTCCACTATCAAACGGAGTGACAATAATGTGGCGGATACATTAACAGAAGTTGCCAGTGGTGGCAAAGTCTCCACCTTGCCATTGTTTCCGATAGATCCTTTTGTTTCTTGACCATGTTCAAACTTGGCTACTCAATCCATCACAAACCTAGGTGAAAAATCACCTTCTTGTTGTCTTTATCGTGGAGCCATCAAATTAAACACAATCGTGTTGCCAATTTGTTTTCCGGCAAGGAAAATCTCTTGTGTTTGATCTCAATCAATGCACCTTTGACTTTGATATGATCCCAAATTGGCCTTCAATCAAGCTGGAATTGATTGATCAAGAAGGTAAGCAAAGTACATTAAAGAACACTGAATTTTGGCTAAGTTCTTTTATAGTTTTGGGTAGCCAACTTTGCACGTTGGGAACTTGTTATTGGTTTAATTTAAATTCGAGTTTAAGGCCTTGTTTTGAAGATGAAGAGTTTATCTTTCCATTGATGTGCTTTGAAGCTCGAGAGGAAGCCCAGAAGAGTGATTTACAGGTCGATCAAGTTGTTAGCTCGACATGGGAAAAACTGCCGATATATTCTAAGTGTTGGAATGAGTTTGGGAAGGAACTTTGGAAGCCTCAATCGAAGGGATGGCATGAGAGTCGAGCTTCAAGAACCATACCTCGTGAAAGTAGGTTTCTTTTACTACAACGACATGGTGTTGGATGAATGGAATGAAGAATAGAAGGCCTCGAACGAAAGCTCCAAAAATTGTATCGAAGCTGAGTTTCTATCTTTGGAAACCAGGCAATCCGAATCCTTATCGGATTAGGATTCCTTTGTTGTTTTGTGTTTAATTCATTTTCATTAATGGTTTTGATTTCCTTTTCCAATTGTAATTTGTTTAGGACTTCTCCAAGAGTAGTAAGATTGGCTAGGTCTATTTAAGTAGCTTTGATTCATTGTAATTTTCAGTTTTTAGAGTTGAATCGAATAAACCACAAGGTTGAGTTCCATAGCTTTTGCTTTGTGAATTTGGAGATCTTCCTAGATGATTTTAGGTGAGATTTCGAGCTTGTATCGTTCAGTTATTCCCACTGTTCGTGGCCAAGCATCTACCCTAAGTTTTCGAGCCTCTTTCCCTACGAGAAGGTTGCACGAAATCACCATCCCGAACACGAACTCAGACTCTGTTTTGTGTTCGTCATTTCCGAGTTTTGATTCAATCTTTGGATTGAATCTTGTTTTGCTTCTCTGATTCCAAAACCACCCATCTAGGGGTTATCAGACTTCTTGAAGAACGATAATAACATGGACAATCATCCCACTAGGTGTGCCAATTTGTTTTCCAACGAGGAAAATCTGGTGTTTGAAATTAATGAAATGCACCTTGAGAAAATCAACATGGTTCACTCCTCTCCGATCAATGTTTGGACAATGATGTTTGACGTTTTGATGGTTTTTTGGGAACAAGCTATGTTAATTACTCCTACTCCTATGGAGGTTCATCTAAAGCTCCGAAAACTAAAGAGTAAAGCTAATTTGCAGAGAAAGGATAAATTTTGACATTGTGCATCAAAAGGTTGGTTGTGGAACCCTTGCTTCGTCTTAGTTTCTCCTATTTATAGCCATCCCCTGTAACCGCCATATAACTAGCTCTTGTAACCGCTGCCTCTCTTGCTTAGTGCTGATGTCTTAACCGCATGACCCCCTCAATTTATAAAATTGTTAAACCCCGAAATAAACACCCGCAGAGGCTCGAAACAATTAAAACATCTAAAAACACGTTTCTGGAAATTTCCTGCAGTTTTAGTGACCACCCAAAATCTGTCACTAAAAGAGTGTAAAATCTGTTACTATTCACAGAATTGCACCCTCATGAAAAATCACCAAACCGATCAATCTAAATCGAAGGGATCGAGTTCTCTTACCTATAGAACGTGCATAGGACTAGATCGGATGTCTCGAGATGGTGATCTCCTCGTCAATCGATGTTTTGAACCCTCGAACCGTTATCGCAAACGCTATAGTACAAAAATATGAGTTTCGGATTAGACTACCAATGAATCGAGTTTTGAATCGTGAAAGGATTCGTGATCCTTACCTAGGGGCACGAGAGCAACGAGGAGGGGTCGGGGAAATCAAAGAGACGGCGGTGGAGAAATCATACCTCTCCCTCTTTTTTTTTCTTTTCCCTTTCATCTTCTTTCTCCGTCCGACGCTCACACTGCTGCTGTTTATTTGGAGGCTGGGAAATTTGAGGGAGGTTTTTTTTTTTTTTGCTGTTGGGCGGGGTAAAAGGATATGTGAAAAGGGTTATGAGGGCCGAGCACCATCTTGGCCCATTTTTTTAAGAAGAATATTATAATAATAATTATTATTATTCCTAACTCATGGTTGCAACCCTTCGTACGTAACCGTCAACCGAACCGTTCATTTGTTATGATCGAACCCAAATTCAAATATCGGGGTTTTCCTTCTTTTTCCATAACAGCTAGTACTCGCAATGGCCCCCTTGCACGACATCATGTTTGCTACCCTAGTGCAAGATAGGTAAGCGGTCATGGTACTTGGTGCTTGACCCCCCTGGTATGACATGATGCTTTACCCCTCTTGTACGATGTCCTGTATGACCCCCTTGTGGTTGGGTCTCAACACTTAGTCCAATTTCTTCTCCTTTGCTGCCACGTACTAGAGGTATTCGTATGCTTGACAACCCTCCTTGCACGGCATCATGTTTGACACCCTAGTGCAAGGTAAGTAGGCGGCATGGTATCTAGTGCTTGACCCCTATTGCAAATTTCATTTCTTGGTACCAAGCTCTGCCTTACCAGCTTGGTACCACAGGCTTGCCTCTCGGTCTAGTACCCTGTTGGATGGTTAGTCGTTACCAGACATACCTTGCCGCCTTGGTACCATGTTGGCCTCATAATTAGCTAATTTTCATGTGTTTTGGTACCAAGCCTATTGCTTGCCTACCAAGCCTATTTTGCATTGCTTGGTACCCTCAGCCTACCAAGCCTCTTTCGTCGGCTTGGTACCGTGTCGTTTGGCACCCTGTTTTGTCGCTTTGTTTCCAGACTTGGTTTTTGGGAGCCGATTTTGATACCAAGGGGGTGGAGGCATCATCCGGGCTATATAGGCGGCCAAACACTAGGCCAGGGATACGGGGCTTGGCCACTTAGGCCCAAAAACCTAATAAGATCCAACTAGCTCATTTAATGATTAATATTGAATCTGCCTTATAAATCCATTAAATTCCTTGTAATTAATCGATGTGGTATGAGATTAATTTTTAGGTGTAAACACCAGGGTAGTGAAAATTAGTTAGAAGGATATTGCGATTTGCGAAGGTGAAGCAATATTTGTAGTTGTTATCTTTTTAATTTGGCCATCCGTTCCCAAATCTCAACACTTTTTTTTTCTGCAATGGCGAGTGAACCCAATCCAGCTATCTTCCTACTCCTCCTGTCGTTGACATTCTCCGTCATGGAAGAGAGGGCCGGAAATTCCACATTACCGACGACCTGTGGGACGTGGTGGACGAGGAGTACGAAGTGTGGAAGGAGAAGACATGTCGTTGATCAGCATCCCATCACCGATCTTCGGGTGCAAGTCCCCTTCCTTCTACCCGGTCCCACGAAGCATCACGTTTTGCAGAATCGAGACATCGTTCCCGACCTCTGTTGTCTCCCCAATCACCACTCCGGTGGCGTGATCGAGCAACACCCCTTCCCCTATTCGAGCGTCGGGGTGGATGTCGACCCTTTGAAGCTCAGGAAACAGTGGATGTAAATGCCTCTTCTCGCCTTTTCTCGTGCTTTCGCCCAGAGATCCTCGACGGCCACCGCCTCCTCCTCGATTCAATTGAGAGTTGGGGATTGGGATTGGGTTTGGAAATTTTTAACGAGGGGCACGAGGGTGAGATGTGAGAACAAGGAGTAAATTATTTTATTATTTATTTAATTTTAAATTGACATGTCATTAATTTTACGTTCCAATCAACAGTTATATTTGCCACATCATCAAAAAACTGACTGAGTTACAAAGTCTGACGGAGACTAACGGCCGGTGATCAACGGTGAAATGGTTCATAAAGTTAATAGCAAATAAGAAAGGAAAGTAATTTGGGTGGCAAACGTGAAACATTTATATAATTTGAGTGATCAAACGTGTAATTTAGCCAACCTAGAGGCAACCATGAAATATCATTTCAATTCAGTCATAAATTTTCCGTTTAATCATTGAAAGAAATACACAAGAAGTACCAATGAAATTAAATAACTAAAAATGACATTAGAGATCGTTTGAAAATAAGATATTTGCAAAAACATAACTCTTTTTCTGTAAACAAGCATTGATTTTGACAACTTGTATATGTCAAAAAAATGTGTTTTTAAAGGAAAAATTGTGGGGAGCTTGTCGGAATAAGTTAACATCATGCTAAGAATTATGAGTTGACATTTGCTTATATAACAAGCAAACACATAAATTTCCGAACAACCTCCGAAATAATTTGAAGCTGCACAAACTACATTAATCAACTAGCATGTACCCGGCTAGTTGCCCGGAAGATTTGAGTTCATTATTTAATAAATTATTTCAAATAAGATTTTTCGTGATTCTCAATTGAATACTTTATTCGTAAACTTATCTAAGTCTTAAGCATACTATGAGTATGTTTTTTCAGTTATGTCATGATATTCTCATCCCTCTTGTGCAATAAGAAAAAAACCATATCTTTCGATAATTTTTTTCCATTCAATCTCCTAATTCCTAAATCGAAGAAGTATAAGTAAGTTATGCACGTCCTCATCTATATTCTCGACTCCATGATATCTGACAAAGAATTTAAATGCTTAACTTAACCTTATACGCATTTCCTTATTAAAAACCTTCATCATTTGACAATATTTATGTCACTTTATTTTAAATTTATTCTAATACCTAAATACAAAAGTTGAACAAAAACTTAACATCTACACTTTCACTTTCTAGAATTAAACCCTTAATCACCGAATCAACAAACTATCCAAATGTCAATTTTATTAATCATAATAATACATCAATTACAAATCATTTTCTCAATGTTATAATTACCGTACCCATATCCCAACTCAAGGCCATTTCTATGGTACCGGTACGGCATTAGTGGCGCCATTTTTTTAGCCGTTGGATTTGTGGAGTTTAATGAGGATCATTGATTAATAACCAGCACTTAGCCGAATATGGTTGAACCTGTTTTATATGGTTAAACCTAGAAAAATTATTTGTTAATTACCGAAAAATTGATTTGTTTCTAAAACATCTCGCTTCCTTGTCGGATACGGAAAAATAATTAATCATGGTCTTCTATTGATCGCCGGCAGGAAGTGAAAGTGAACACCGGCAACATAATTAATCATTTCACAGCAAATCCATCTTCTTCGTCTCATTTTGATCACAATTCTTATAATCTGGTATTGCAATGGCGGATTCCCTAGACCATCGCTGAAAAGAATTATACTCTGGCAAACTTTTTAATCGGCATCCCATCGTACAGTTACGCTTTGGTGGTGGCAAGAGCGTTGATGCCATGGTGATTCCGAATGACTAGGTATAGGAATCTTACTGCGCAATGACTGTGCACTTGACATCGGCGGTAGAGACTATGATTGTTATGCCCGGCGGCAGCAAAAGCGTTGATGGTGGTGGTGATTCCTACTCGGGATCTGAGAGCGCGATGTGTTAATCGAAACAGGAAAAGAAATAGACACACAGATTTTTTTTACATGGTTTCCTGGTTTTGTATGAACGAGACTAGTCCACGGCCGAAGCTAGATTTTCCTCTTATTCAGCTTAACCTTAACCGGTTCACTTACATACATATATATACAAGCTAGGGTCTCTAACCCTAGACCATTACTCGACTAACCCTAAGTCACTTACACTAATCATCCGCGACTAGGGAAGTGGGCCGAAGCCCATACATACTACTCAACAGCCTCCCCCAAATTGATGAGGATCTCTCATCATCAATTTGCGAGAAAGGTAAAAATGTCGACTAGCTGAGAACGACTTGGTTAACAGATCGGCAATCTGGTCTTCAGAAGTGATGTAGAACAGTCGGAGAACGCCATCACGAACCAAGTCTCGTATGTAATGAAGATGAACCTCGATATGCTTCGTGCGATCATGAAGCACCGGATTAGTAGCAATCTGAATGGCGCTCGTGTTATCCACATAAAGCTGGAGAGGAATAGCACAAGTCACTCCTAAGTCACCCAGCAAACGCCGAAGCCAGACCAGCTCAGAAGCAACATCGGACATAGCATGATACTCAGCCTCGGTAGAAGATTTAAACACCCTGTCCTGCTTCTTACAGCGCCATGAAATGAAGGACTCACCAAGACGAATACACCAACCAGTAGTCGAACGACGAGTATCTATACAGCCAGAATAGTCAGAGTCAGAGAAACCCTGAAGATCAAGTGAACCAGACGATGGGAGAAACAACCCCACCTCGCGAGTGCCTTGTAGGTACCGCAAAATACGATGGACAGCAACAAGATGATCCGTACGAGGGGAAGACATAAATTGACTCACAATCTGAACTGAACTGCATAGGCAATATCAGGACGAGTCGACGTTAAATATATAAGGCTCCCAACCACACTACGATAATGCTTACCACCATCGGGCAAAAGATCACCAGACTCGTGTCCAAGCTTCAAACCGAGCTCCATGGGAGTAGAAACAGCGGAGCACTCACCAAACCGAGAGGAGGCCAGTAAGTCATCAATGTACTTGCTCTGACATAAGAGAATCCCGGCGCTACTGCGCTTAACCTCAAGTCCCAGAAAGTAGGAAACATACCCAAGCTCCTTAAGACTAAATGAAGCATGAAGTCCTTTGGTAAGAGCAGTAATCCCCAAGTCATCATCACCAGTAACGATCATGTCATTGACATACAATAAGAGCACCACAAGCCCACGAGAAGAGCTGCGTGTGAACATAGAAGGGTCATTAAGACTCTGTTCGAAGCCGAGAGCGAGAATAGTGGAATGAAACTTATCAAACCACGCCCGAGGAGCCTATTTCAGACCATAGAGAGAATGACGAAGTAAGCACACCTGGCCTGGCTCGCCGTAGGTATAACCAGGAGGTGGTTCCATATAGACAGTCTCCTTAAGCTCCCCATGCAGAAATGCAGTCTTAACATCAAGCTGAAACAATGGCCAACCTCAAATAGACGCCACAGCCAAGAGAGCACGAACTGTGACCATCTTTGCAACCAGGGCAAAGGTCTCCTCAAAATCAATGCCATATTCCTGACAAAAACCTTGAGCCACCACCCTAGTTTTGAACCGCTCAATGGAGCCATCAGGTCGGACTTTAATGGTATAGACCCACCGAGAGCCAATAACTGGAACAGAAGGAGGAGGCCGAGGGACCATATCCCATGTATGATTGGCATGGAGAGCATCAATTTCCTCCGTCATAGAATTATCCCAATCCGGATTCCCTTAAGCCTGTGAGTATCGAGTAGGAACAGGAATGGGATCAACACCGAAAGCCAAATAATCCATATGACGTACCGGTGGAACACCTCGGGTGCTGCGAAGTGAGCGGCGAAGTGGTTCCACTGGAGGTGGAGAAGGCGAAGGCGAGGCAGACGATGACTCGTCGGACGAGCTGGAAGTCGAAGGCGCGGGCGAAGAGGGGGAGTCGGGGGGCAGCTCGGGAGCTTCATCATCAAGATATCCATCGTCATCATCACCAAAAGAAGGCGGAGCAAGGGATAGGTCGAACAAGGGAGGGTCGGACACAGAGGAAGAAGAATGGTACATCAAATTCTCAAGAAACACAACATGACATGCAATACGAACACGACGGGAAGAGGGATCATAACAAAGGTAGCCTTTATGAATGTCACTATAGCCAAGGAAACAGCAACGTGCAGTTTTAGAAGTAAGGGCTCGTTTAGTATGGTTTTGTTGTTGTTGTGATTGTAGTATGGTTGTGTAACACAAGAGAAACCACAACAACATAAAAATAGAAAACAAAAACATGTTTATTTGGTAATTATGACATATCATAGAAATCGACAACAAAAAACAGAAACGCGTTTAGTTCTTTGTAACGAAAAATCATAAGAACATTTCTCAATATACAGCAAAGGAAACGTTGGATTGAGCTGCTGGGATCAAAAGACCATTTCTCAAAATGATATGCTTCAATCGAAAGAACTATTCTGAAGAATTGGAAGATGGTTTTCCTTGAGCAACAAATGGATCAACAGGAAATAATTTGCCGGCTTTAATCTCTGGTGAGCGGCGACTCCTCCTCCTCCGGCATCCGCGGCCAACACAACTCCACCTGAGAAGGTAAAGCCGTGTATTCGATCGATGGAGCAAAGAGGGCGATGGAGAGGACGGAGGGGCGGGCCAGGGCGAGGGACGAGTGACCGGCTGTGTTGTCGCGCGGAAGAGTGAGCGTCAGCTCTGTGCCCGTCGAAAAGAGGAGAGCTCGCGAGGGAAAGATGAAGCCGGCGGCGAGGGAGTGGTGGCGGCTGGGCAGGCGGGGCTCGCGGCGGCGGCTGTTGAGCTGGGGCCTGGTACAACGCTGCGCGGAGGCGGAGGGTCGGAAGGCGCGGAGGCGGAGGGTTGGGAGGGCGGAGGCAGCCGGTGTTTATGGCTGGAGTGAGGAGAGCGGCGCCGGCTGGGGAGAGTGCTGCCTCTCGTTCGATAGAAAATGGAGGGGTTGGGGGCGGCTGAAAGTAAGTAGGTTTTGGGGGTGGTATGTGTTAAAAAAGAAAAAAATTGCTTCTGTGGGGATTCGAAAACTAGTCTATTTTAATGAAATCAAGCGCCCAACCAGTATGAATCCCGTGTGCAACATGTTTAAGAATCAGATCCAAAGCTATAAATTGTTGTTTCTCATATTTGGGCCTTGTTGTGCAACTCTGATTCACAACAAAAAATAAAAACCCAACTAAACACGATTTTTTTTCTTGGTTTTCCAAATTTCTTAAAACACAACAGAAAACAAAAACAAGCAACAATACTAAACGGGCCCTAAGCTTAGTGCGTTCAGATCGAGGGAGAAGAACAAAACAGACACACCCAAAGACACGAAGGCGGGAATATGGTGGAGGTTTGGAAAACAGGCGGAAGTAAGGGCTAGTTTGGTCAAGAACTGGTGTAATATGATAATTGATAAGACGCACAGCAGTAGCAACCGTTTCAGGCCAAAAAGACGATGGGACAAAGGAGGAAAGCAGAAGAGCAAGAGTGACTTCTAACACATGACGATTTTTCCTTTCAACGACCCCATTTTGTTGAGACACCCCAGGACAAGATTTTTTAGACAAAATCCCCATATCACGATACCAGAACTAAACTCCCCTCCCGAATCAGAACGGACTACACGAACAGTTCTGCCAAACTGGGTTTTAATCATAGCAAGAAACTCAGTGGTAACAGTCAAGAGATTAGACTTTAGGCGAAGAAAGTACACCCATGTATACCTAGTAGCATGATCAATGAACAGAGCAAAATATTTATAACCCAGTCGAGAAGTCGTAGGACTAGGCCCCCAAAGATCAGTGTGTATCAAATCAAAAGACTCAGAAATAATGGTAAGACTAGAAGGAAAAGAGATTCTCGTAGTTTTGGCCTCAATGCAACTAGTACATGAAAAATCCGACGAACACTGACCGTGGGTGTTATCCCTAAATAACTACTGTTTAAACATTGTCATAAGTCTACTAGAGTTTGGATGGCCTAACCGAGCATGCCATAATTGAAAGTTTTTATCGGGAAGACTCGAAAACACTGTAGGAAAGAAGGTGGCTGGTGATGACAATGACGATGGGGGGCGCAGCTGGTCAAGAACAAATAAGCGCCCCGTCTTGCTGCCCCTACCGATCTACCTCCCTGTCTTCTGATCCTGAATAACACAGCCAGAGGGTGCAAAAGTGACACAATAGCCTTGGTCAGTAAGCTGACCTACATAAACCAAACTAGGCACCAACGTCGGCACATGATACGTAGATGGTAAAACAACATTAGAATTATGAACTGTGCCCATGCCTGCTACACTTAACTTCTCACCATTAGCAACTTGAAGAGATAGATCATTCACAGGCTGTAATTGCTTAAGCGTAGAACTATCACCAGTCATATGATTGAAACAAGCAGAATCAAGTATCCAGTGAGGAATCTTACCGGAAACTTGAAGACTAGCAAAGGCGGTGGAAATCGCCTTGTTAACCATTTGCTCAAGAGCTGCGGGAGTCACCAGTATGACTTGGGAGTCACCACTAACCTGCGCAGCATATGCAGGACGCGGTGCAGAAGAGCCTCCCCGAGACGCAGCTCCATTCCCGCGACCCTCATCATCGCGAGATCGACCATTCCCGCGACCCTCGTCTTCGCGGAATCGGCCCTCCAATGTTGGACAAGCTGAAATTATATGTCCAGTCTTTTTGCAATAGTGGCAAAAATTCATTTTCTTGCAGTACTTCTTCGTATGCCCTTTTTCATGGCAATGGAAACATTCGACATCGGCAACTGAAACTTGGCACTGAAAGGAGGGCCTATACGCTGCATAGGCCGAATCTCTTAGCTGCTCAGCCTGGTCCCGCGACGTAGAGGAACGATGGCCGCTTCCACCTACAACTCCTGAAGAACCCTGCGGTGGTGAGCTGTTCGCGGCGCTGAAGACAGCAGCCCCGTCGTCGGTGCCAGGTCGGATGTCGAGTGCTGCCTGGGTTCGCAGCCTGGTTTCCTCCTGAATCAATGAGCTGAGAACCCCTTCAGCCTTCAAGTTCTCTCTATTAAGCAAGGAAGCACGGATTGGTTCGAACTCCCGATTCAGCCGCATCAAAAATTGCATCAGCCGTATCTTCTCTCTTTCGGCGCGAACCTCCGCCAAACCAGCAGTGGAGAGAAGAGAGACCATCACAAGGTTCACCCACATCACAATGTATATAATATAAAGGAGTCAACTTGACATGATAATAGGTGAAGAGAATCATCGAGGGAAAAAAGAAGTTGAAATAGGGCGAAAAATGTCGAATTAGTTCTTAAATTGGATAGAAATTCTATTATGAAAGATTTTTCTACAGATTGAGATGATTATTAGGTGCAAGGAACTAAGGAAAACAATTCCACAAAGGAAAGAGCGGTGAACTAGGCACAAGAATTAGAGGAAAAAGTAAATGAAAGAAGAGCGGATCTCTATTTGGAAGGTTGGCTTTGAGGTTCAAACTCCAGGAGCAGTCCGAGTTTATATCTAACGTCTCCACTCTCCTCTCTCTAGCGCCAATGACTTTGATCTTTTTGTTGTTGGGTTGAGCGGGTCACCCGCACACTCACCCACAACCCACCCGGCGGATGGCTCCCAGCGCAACCCGTCACCCACCCACAGACCCACCCACTTAACAAAATTCGGGTCAAATGCGGGTGGGTTGGCCCAAACCCGCGGATGATCCGCCCGCATGCCCAGCCCTAGCTGACGACAATGGCAGCGCGATGGCGCCCCGAAACACATACCTTCCACTTTCCCAAGGGGGAAATGACGATTACCCTCAGAGACGTTGCCATCCTCACCAAGCTGCCGGTCATTGGAGAGGCAATCATCGGCAACTCGAGAAAACCCGAAAATGGTTGGGGGCCGCTGATTCTCGAGCGTTTGGGGTTCGACATGCCGACCCGAACTGGAATCCAAAGACATGGTCATCCACCGCTGAATGTGGGGCAAATATTGATTCTGTGGCTCATTGATCACATCCAAACAGCAATGAATTTAGGCCCAGACACCCCCGAAGATCAAGTGGAATGGTATGCATGCGTCTACCTCATTGGCTTGGTTGGTGGAATTCTGTTCCCCGACAAAGCAAACCGGTGGATACAAGGCATGTGGTTGTCGTTGCTCCTCGGTGACTGGGATGAGATCGAGAGAAAGAGTTGGGGGTCGGCCGTGTTAGATGGGATTTAGCGGGAGCTGTGTACTTGCTCGAAGTTGGGAGCGAGACAAGCTGGTGGTGCGATGTTCATCCTCTGGCTAAGGGCATGGGAGCATCTTCCGATGTTCGCACCTCGAGACCCGCGGAAATTCTGGTTGCCAAATGATGAGCTACGAGATGTAGCAAATCCCCCCTATGGTGTCAAGTAAGTTTTATTTAATTTAAATTTATTCCAAGTATGAAATTTAATTTAATTTAGATTTAGATTTAGATTTATTCCAAGTATGCAACTTTATTTAATTTAGATTTATTCTAAGTATGCAATTTTATTTAATTTAGATTTATTCCAATTATGCAACTTTATTTAATTTAGATAAATTCCAAGTATGCAATTTTATTTTATTTAAATTTATTTCAAGTATGAAATTTTATTTCATTTAGATTTATTACTTAAATTGATTAAGTAAGTGTTTAGGAAATTATCACATGCTTAGCCTCTATGCTTTAAAAAAGTTCTTATATGCGTACCTTTGCTCATCAGGTGAATCGGAGCAAATAAAAATGACCACCAGTCTGAGCACTCTATTATGTTTTATCGTGCTGAGTTTGATAAGTCTTGGTGGAACTAGGTAAAAATGTCTTTATGAATATTTTAAATTTTTACCTTCCAGTGGATATAATTGGTACTAATTGCCAATTATTAACGAATGTAGGTGACACGGGATCCATATCCACAAGAAGTGGTAGAGTTGTATCGTCTTAGACACCCCGAGGATCTTGAAGAGTGGTTGTGCAAGGTGCCCTTGATCTGTTGGCACGTGGTGGAGTGGCACCTGCCGGATCGAGCCTTGAGGCAATATCGATAGGAGCAACCAATTCCAACATCCCTGCCCGTAGGTTTCAGGGATCTCCATGCCATCGACCTACACCACAAATCAAAGGATTGGATTTGCAAGCATGAGTTCTACATCAACATTTGGAAGAATAGAGCGAATTGGGTGGTCCAAGGGATCCCGGAGACGAGGCCAATGGGGTACCACGATGGGTACATGCAGTGGTATCGGAAATTCACGCTTAGATGGGTATCAAAGTAAGGTGTTGTGTGGGGTTCGATGGTAAGTGATACCAATTCAGACTCTTTGTCTTATTCTTTTGTAGTTAGATTACATGCTTAGATTATATTGAACTTGTATTACATGATTAACTTTATTAATTTCATTTTACTACTTAAATTTATTAGGTTGACGGCTTAGAACATGCCAAGCACACTGCCTATAGTTTATTAATTTGGTAACGAGTGTTCAGTGTACACGTTTTGTTTGTGCGCGTGGTGGGAGAGGCTGTATGTCGAACCCTTAGGAAGAAAGGAAAACGGATCGGCCCGCTAATAGAATTGAGAGAAAGAGGCAGTGCCTTAACTCCATCGCGTTTAGTGGCAGGGAAAGGGTAAAAATGGCACGAGATACGTGCACTGTACACGGCTCTCGTTCATTTTCTCAAACTGCTTTTTATTTTCTTTATTTATTGTCTCATCATATAATATTCCAATTTCCAAACTCTCCCTAGAATATTCTACTCCTTTTGTTCATTGATATTTGATAACAAGGAAAAAAGGAAACGCAACATTTTGTTTAATATTTCTTCCCTGCCTTCCCGTTTGTGCCGCACTTTGCTTCTACATGCTCCTTAAATAGTAAGGAAGATATGACTTCCCATAGATATTTGGAACCTCCAACCTCTATTATCATTTTATCCTCTGTATAAAAAGTTAATTTATTTTTAGTGTTTTGGTTAATTTAAAATGTGTTGTACTTGCTTTCACAAAAGGTCATTTTCAGGAAGAAGTTGCAAAGATAATGAAAATAGATATAAATTAATTTCAGTTTCATTTTGATCGTGTATGAAATCATTGAAACTCTTTGGTTATTGTACGATACATTCATTTTACACTCAAGGACCAAAAGTGTTCATATAGATTTGGAAATTCAAAACCAAACATCGGTGTATAATGGTGTACAGTATTGTGAAGTCGAGTCAAATAATTAATTTGGAAAGAGAAC